GACTGAGCCAGCTGGGAGCCCCAGATCTGACTTGTATTTTTTTTTTATTAAAAAAAAAATTTTTTTTTAACGTTTATTTATTTTTGAGACAGAGAGAGACAGAGCATGAACGGGGGAGGGTCAGAGAGAGGGAGACACAGAATCTGAAACAGGCTCCAGACTCTGAGCTGTCAGCGCAGAGCCCGACGCGGGGCTCGAACTCACGGACCGCGAAATCATGACCTGAGCCGTAGTCGGCCGATTAACCAACTGAGCCATCCAGGCGCCCCTGACTTGTATTTTTAAAGGCTCTCCCCACTGCTGTGCTGAGAACCGATTGTCAGGCGGCAGGTGGGAATCTTATTTGGGGGCTGTGGTAATTGTCTGGGCTTTCTGAGGGCAGAGCCAGTGGGACCCCCACAAGGGTGGGTAAGGGGAGGAGTGCAAGATGATATGTGAGTCAGGCCCTCCCTCGCTCCTGCCACAGCCCAGTGAGGGTGCTCCGGAGGGGCGCCTTCACTTCCAGGGTGGTCCACCCACCTTTGGCCCCTCCTTCCCGGAGGGTGGGGAGTCCCATGGAGACTGGCAGAGAGAACCCACTTCCTGTAAACCTCACCATAAGCCACACATGCCCCTGTGTTCACCCTCCACACGTGGCCAGGGGAGGCTGGGAAGGGGGCCCAGTGCTCTCCCCGGGACCAGCCCCAGGATGGAGGGGGAGGGCAGCCGTTACCCTCTGTGTGCACATCTCAAAACTCCTGAACTGAGCAGCCCCGGGAATGAGGCAGCACAAACAGGAAGGTGCAGGTGGAGAGTCTTTGGGAAAGGCGAATCGGAGCTCAGCCCCGGGCTCTAAGCTTGAGATGCCCTGTTCCCATGAAACGGGGCGTTGGGAAGCCAAAATGGACACAGGAGTCAGGGCACAGGAAGAGGTGGGATATGGGAGTCCTGGCCACCAGGTGGTACTTAAACTGCAGGACAGGGGCACCCGCCCTTCCCAGAGGACAAGCATGGGGGGGGGGACGGGGTGGCAAGGCCCCAAGGGGGAGGGGCTTCTCTTCTGCAGGAAGAGGCTGGGGAGAAGGGTCATCGAGAAGAGGAAGGAGAGAGCCAGGAGACAACGCAGGACGCAGGCCAGGGCCCCCTTGGGACCCTGGGGTCTCAGGTGTCCCCGCTCTGTGTTCACGTGGCTGCTGCGTGAACCCAGGGCAGCCTAGCAGAGTGCAGCTGGGGCTGGGGAAGGGGGTCCTACAGGGGTCTGGGCCCAGCGAAAGCTGGCCATGGAACCCCTCTGCAGGTGTCCCCAGGGTTGTGGGGACAAGGAGGAGGCAGAAGGGGCAGGGGCTGGATGCACCCACCAGCCCAGCCTCCTGTCTTCCCCCCTACACCCCATACGCCTGTCCCACCCCCCCCCCCAGCTCTCCCCTAGACCCATGATCCTCTCCCAGCTCACTCACTGCCCCCCAAGAAACACTCGGGCTGCATTGTTCATTTAATGACATTTTTCTTCCATTTCCCTGGCGCGTGCTGTGTCCACCCCCATGGCCTCCTTGATCGGGCACACAAACACCCCGCGATGCCCCATGGGGTAGCTTCCTCTGGCCCAGGGCTGGGTGTGGCACTACTTCTTCTTTGGAACTTTCTCCTTTTTGATCAAGTCAGAAAATTCTAGAATAGGAGACAGATTTCTGGTGAACAATCCCTTGCCTTGTGCCCCTCAAGTCCTGCAGACCCAACGGGAAGACACGCCCCCTTTTGGGGAGGAGGGTCTCACAAGGGAGGGGACCCTGCATCCAGCCCTCCTGAGCCCTGGGGAGCAGGATTGACCCCCACAGTTGCTGTGTGCCTTGCGTCCCCACCCAGGGCCTGCTTGGTGGAGGTGAGCCAGCCCCCTTTGGGGGTTTAGGATGGACTGGGGACCCTCGGTCCCCTTTGTGGTGACCCTCAGGAATTCCCCTTAGAGTTCCTGAGATCATCCTGCCTTTCTCAGGCAGGGAGGCTGGGGCACTGAGTCCGAAGCGAACCCTTTGGCCAGGCTGCCCCTCTGTTAATTCTAGGGGCTACCCCGTCAGTCAGGGTTTGCAAGCCCAGAGAGGTGAGACGGGCTCACAGCTGGCAGTGGGGTCTGGAGGTCCGTCTGTCTGAGGCTCTGAGCTTTGCTCGACTCTTCTCAGGGTCACCTTGCCGCCCTCTGCCCTCGGGCCCCGGGGCCAGCAACTTGGGGGTGGGGGGGTGGGCGGGGCTGCAAGATAACCAGACCCCAGGGTAGCCATGGAGAGCCCGAGGCCCCCGTCCCTATCTTCGAACCTCCCTGCCCATCTCAGACCACCGCGCTCCGTCCCCTGCACCACGGACCGCTGCTGCGCCCTGGCTGACCTTGCCCACAGCCACCTCAGCCCACCTCTCCCCCACCGGCTCCCCTCCGTCCAGTGAGCGCCCCACCCGCTCAGCCTCCCTGACGCTCAGCTTCCCATCTGTGGTGGGTGACGGTGCCCCCTAAGGAGGAGGCTGTATGCTTGGTGCCTGGGGGTGGGCGGCCCTACTCAGCGTCGCCCCGAGCTGGGTGCCTCGCGACGTGGGGTCCGGGAGCGGCCGGCCAGGAAGGTCCCGAGAGACACCTCTGCCCCCTCTGTCTGTGCCGACCCACCTTCGAAGTCGATCCTGCCGTCCCCGTCCGTGTCTGCCACCTGGATCATGGCTTCTGCCTCCTCGTCCGTCAGCGGGGCGGTGGGCGTGCTGCTGGGGGCGATGGACAGGATGTACCTGGAGCCAGGGGTGGGCTCGGGTCAGAGCCGAGGGGGTGTCTGGCCGGTGCCCGATGGTTTGCAAGGTGCTCACTCCCCACTTTACAGGTGGGGAAACTGAGGCCCGGCTGGAGAGTCGTCTCTGGGCCTGGCCCCAGTGCTGTGGACCTGGGCTGTTTCCGGCCGCCCCACCTCCCACGAGGCCAGCTGGGGCCCGACGGGGGGTGCCAGGTCTCGTGCCGGGGTGGATGCGGTGGCCGTGGACTGGGCACGGGGCCCGAGGCTCGGTACCCCTCTCCCCAGCCACTGGCCATTACTTGATCTCGTTCCACTCGATGAAGCCACTCTTGTCCTTGTCCAGAGTCTGGAAGGCCTGGCGGATGGCGCTCTCCAGCTGCCCCGAGGCCTGGAACTTCTGCATGTACTCCAAGAACTTGAGGTAGTTGAAGGAGCCTGGGACAGCCAGGCGCAGGTCACGGGGAGCCCAGAGGGAGGCTTCTGCCCTGGGGGTGGGGACTGCCGTGTCCTGCACTTCCCCTCCCCCCACCCCTGTGTGCGCGAGGCTGCCCAGCCCGGGGAAGGGGGAGCTCCCAGATGAACTCCTGTGTCCACCGCTTCCTTGGCCGTGGCCGGGCCAGGCCCGGGGTCGGGACACAGTGCTGGGGACGAGGGGTGTGCTGTACCATGATGCCTCATGTCCGTGGGCAGCAACTCTATGTCCTTGTCTGACAGGGACGTGCCCATGGCCAAGGCCATCTTCTTCATCTGAGAGGAGAAGTCCTCGTCCATCCTGGCCCTGTGGTGGACAGGGAGCCGGCTCGGTGGGTGCACACGGGTTGGGTGCGGGGCGCTCTGCTCAGACCAGAGCAGACCCCTCCCCTGCCTGGTGCCAGCGCCCGCCTCCCGAGCAGGGTCCCCAGGGGCCTGGACCAGGCCCCCGGCTGCCCTTGACCACAGAGACTCCCGGGTCCGGGGCCCTGGGGGAAGGTGTGCCTGAGACCTGCCTCACGCCAGCTGGCCCCCTTGAGGTACCGCACCCATTTCGCAGAAGAGGCTGAGGCCTGCGTCCGGTAAGTAACGATCACAAGGTCCTTCACTCCGCTCAGAAGGTGGGGTGGCTGCCATCCGACCCCTCAGCGCCGTCAGGGAACTTCCCTCGCTCCTTCCCATCTCAAAGCCGCCTCCTCTAGGAAGCCTTCGTGGTTACCTAAAGCCCCACCTCTTTCCATCAGGACTCAGGACTCGGGGCCCACAGCCCCGGCCTCGCTCCCCAGACCCCAGACGGGCAGGGATTGGTCTTTCTGGCCGGCACCTGACCACCCGCAGTGAGGTGTGCCGAGCGCAGGCCGGTCTCAGGCTGGTTGTGGATTGAGCCTAGGTGTTCTGAGCAGGGAGGACCACGGCCCGTGGCGGAACGCATGTCACTGTCCTCCGTTCGCAGAGAGCCCGTGTCAAGCAGGAGCCACCGAGGCAGGCCAGGACTCCAGCCAGGCGGGTGGGGGTCTGGTCACAGGCCGAGGGGCCAGCAGGTGGGGACCAGGCTGTCCTTTGGTCAGGGCGGTGCCTTGTGACCCGCCGGGCTCTCGGGTTGCCGTCCCTGGGGGGGGTTGGGTTCTGGAGCTTGTGGCAAAACAGCTATTTCAGAGGCTCCTTGGCCCTCTTGAAAGTTCATGGGGTGACAGAACTTTCTGGAACATACTCCCATGGCCAGGAAGGGCAGCCAGTGGCCCGTGTGTCCTGAGTGGGGCTGGGCAGTGACTGGAGGAGTCTCTACCTTCTTCCCCAATAGAGAAGCCACAGGTCAAAGGTTGCACCTCGACCCTGGCAGCCCCGGGGGGGCAGGGAGTGCTGGACACAGCCCCCTAGCCACATCTTCCTTCCTGATCCTGGGCATGCCTCACAGCTGATCCGGGCCTCGGGCTCCTCATCTGTGAAACGGGGTGACCCCTGCCCGCCCTGCCCCTTCTCACGGTCGTGTGAGGAACCAGGAGGGAAGGGAGACACCGGGGAAAGGGCTTTGGGCCCTGGAGCAGGCCTGGAGCTGAGCCCCCAAGCGTCAACCCTAACAGCCAACTTCTGCGGCTGGCCC